GGGACAAATGAATTTTCAGATTACAAAAAGGGACAATATATAAACTTTACATTTCTGATAACAACGTATTTCCAAGTCTACGTAACTCTCTAAGAGCTTCTTCAACTGTTTGTTTTCCGTTCTCAGTCATATTTTCCGGTGAACTTAGCTCCAACACCGACTCAATCACCTGATACCGAAACATTTTACAAAAATGGGTCGGTAATGTTTGATTTCGGTTCATAACAATAAGTTCTATTATTTGATTCGTGAAACTTTTACCTTAATATGTTCAAGCATGGACCGTCCTGTATTCTTTAATGCATCTTCATTACCGACAGTTGAATCCGAATCAATCTTTCCGTCATCCGAATCTATCGGTTTAGCTTCTTTCCTCTCAGAGGTCTCCTCGCCAGACAAGTTTCTACCTAACCTCCATAGCCTCTGAAATTTACCAGACAGAATATTCTTCTCCTTAAAGACATTCGTCAATGATCTCACTTGTGGCTCGTTCTCGGGAATCGAAAGAGGCAAGTCCACGTGGTTCTCGCTTCTGCCTTTCTCGGAATTGTTATCCTCATAATCTAAGCTCGGTGAATCAGATACTGTAGATGAACGTTCGATATCGGTATCTGCATTTGAGGACTCAGGAGGTTCAATCTCTTTTTCCCCAAGCTGCCGGGATAAATCATCGAGTAAACTACGTCTAATTGGCGGCTTGTTTCCGCTTTTAATTGCTTCAGCGGGTGAAGGATCGGATTCTGTCCTCGACAGCCTTAGCTTCACTCTCTCCGACCAACTCTTTTTCCCTGCTTTTGGTCTCTGCAACGCTTTTTTCTTCCGTTCTTCTTCTTCCGCGCTGTTCAAAACTCTCCACTTCTCTTCCCAGTAGCTCTCTGGTACTATTCCCACAGGAGAAGAACCAAGTGAGATCGAATCAACCGATAAGCTGTGACCTCTAGTCGGTTTTCTCGACCCTTTTGGAATTAAATCACGACGAGCATTGATTTCCAAAGCAAGAGTCTGCAAGGACTTAGCCTTTTCGATAACTTTACACAGATCGATGTCCTCTGGAAAATTCAGTAACCTCTTGAGAGAAGAAGTCGCATTTTCGGTTGCTAGCAGTGATGATCTCAGATAGAGTATCATTGAAACCGCCATTCCCGCAACCAGAGCTCCCCGGGGAGAGCTAAGGATCCTGAATTCAAACCCTAGATCAGCCTCCACAACGCCTCTCTCTACCTCGGAATTCTCAGCGGAAAATATCTCATCCCACACGAGCAAGAGATTTTTCAAAGGAAACTCTCTCCCGAACAAAACCCGCAACCACCGGAGCGCAAAGTACTGCGGTTCTACACCAAGCTCAACAAGATGGCTGTGTAGAGAAGCGTCGACTAGAGACAGTAGATGATACAATGCTGCAGAAGCTTCGATCACAGGAGGCAGTCCTGTGACAGAATCGTTTGGAGCGGAATACACAAAGAAATTCGCTACAGAAACCGAACCGCGGGAAGATCCACCGTACATGAGAGCGTCAAACATGGAGTAAGCGTCATGTTCCATGAATTTCTCCGATAAGACTATTCCCAATTCACCTTCCGCTCCATAGGCATCACTCAACAACACCGCGGTCTGCGTCTCGGTGTCAAGTTCATCAAAACTCTTTGGTTTTTTCTTCTTGGTACTTCCTAANGACGGTGGACCA